CCAATTCAATCAGGGTGGATGTGGTCCACTCCCAATAATAGATGAGGAGGTGTCAATTCCAGGAGAGGAAAAGCTGCTTCTGTAGTGAGCCAGCCACTCCCAGTCCCTATTCAAGCCCAGATTAATGGAGGGAGGAGAAACTGTTTCTGTAGTTGGATAGCCATTCAGTCTTTGTTTAATCCTGAGCTGATGGTGTCAAATTTGCAAATGAACTGAAGTTCAGCAGTTTCTCTTTGAAGTCTGGTCCTGAAGTTTTTTTGCTGTAGGATGGCTACCTTTAAATCTGCTATTGTGTCCAGGGAGGTTGAAGTGTTCTCCTACAGGTTTTTGTATCTTGCCATTCAAGGGCTCATCAGGAAATGAAGCTTCCAGCCCAAAATGCTAGCCCTAGGTGTGGTACTACCCATTACCAGAGCATGAGCAGCAAAACACCGCTGTGAGATAAGGCAGTGCCATTCTCCCCATTGTACAGATAGTCTGCTAGTGCCTCAGTCCCCTAAGTGAAATGCCACAGATGTTTATGGCAGAGCAACAATTGAACTCCGGTCCCCCACAGCTCTGGCTAGTGGTCTAACCAATAGACTGTTCTTCCTTTTGATTCATGCTAGAGAATCAGTGTGACGAGAGCTACAGCAGAGTGATTAACCAAATTCCCAGCGGTGTCTCCCCAGTCTCAAAGGGATGAGAAGAGTTTGGCTGCGGGGATCTCTTATCTTCAGGGTTGGACTGGACTGGTAGACGGAACATTCATCCCAAACTCAGACAGCCTGTTCTTGAAATTTCAATAAGTCTGACCTGTGAAAATCCTTTAGCTTCCCTGCATATCTGCTTTGGGCTGGGAAGGGGAAGGTCAGAGAAGCAGTATTTCTGATCCGAAAAGAAGGACCAGGAAACTTACAAGGGACATGTTCTCTAAATTCCCACCACTAGTCCTGGTTCTATAAGGTGCCAAACACTTGCAGCTCCCACTGAAATCCATAGAAGCCGAAAACATTCAGTACCATGCAGGTTTAAGCCCCAACTTTGCAGAGGGTTAGATAGTTTGGATGAGAATCTGAATGGCAGGGGGTTGGTTTATGCAAAGCTGTTAAAATCCGCCTTCTCTGTTATAACCCTAGTATGTTGAAACCAAACTCTCCTTAGTTTCATTGTATTTTGTCTTTATTTGAAAAGTCCTGTTCAGACTCCAGCACTGCCTTTCGCTCTCTGCGCTCTTGTTTTATCCTCTCTCTCTAGGACCACGGCTATGTGAGAGATGTGTCTAATCCCTGCTGGCCTCTCTCCTATCCCCGGGCGGTTCGGTTCGGTTCTGTGCATGACGGGCCCTGCACTGGAAGTAACGCCTCTTTAAGAACACCTACCTCTGAAGATGTGTTTCAAGTAACTGGCTCCAGCAACTCTTCTGCCTGCAGGAAACTCATGGGAAGTTTGTTCGACGACTCCTTGTTCTGCGGCTTCTCACAGTGTTCCCTAAATGGAGTTTTCCAGCCCAACATAACTAGATTTCAGGTAAGTTCTCCATTACATTAAGGTGTGCTTTACGCATGGAGTTCTTAAGAGATGTACTCAGCTCATCACCTACTCAGCTCAACACCTAATAAACATTGTAAGATTGACTAGTATGTATTAGTGCTCTGTCCTCTGCTGGGTGGAACTGGAATTACTCTGGGTAGTATTGCAGCACTGCCCTCTACTGGATGGGAACGAGATCTACCGTGTGTCATGGGCCCTACATCCGAAGAAGTGGGCTGTAGTCCACGAAAGCTTATGCTCTAATAAATTTGTTAGTCTCTAAGGTGCCACAAGTACTCCTGTTCTTCTTTTTGCGGATACAGACTAACACGGCTGTTACTCTGAAACCTGACATTAATAATAGGAACAGATTTATTTATTTATTTTATTTAGCTAAAGCCAAGAGGATCTGACATGTGTTGCTTCTTTGAGGTTCCAAATAGTGATAGCTTTCTGGTTAGTGACAACCCTCAAGTGTCTACGTGGGCATGGGTTTAATGAACCAGATAGCCATCACGGGTGTCAGTCTGGGTTACTTATTAGACCTCTAGACTAGAAGGCTTTGGCTTCAAGTGCTATGATGGAACAGAGGCTTAGGCTGTCCAAGCCTGCAGTGAAGTACCAGGGTGCCATGTTTCTGGAGGCGCTATCCTTTCTCATATCTGCTTATTGTTCACGTGGAAGCTACAGATCCTCTGGCACTTTCTAAACATAATGTAGGGAATTACTTTGATGTTCTGCCCAACATCCCTTCTCTGAACCACAGGTTCTAGTGTCCAGAGTCATGTGGGAGCCAGGGGTGAACATACGACTCATGCAGCTATTGTACCGCTGGTACCTCACTCCCCTGTCTGCAAAGAGCACTTGGAAAGTCTGAGCGTGAAAGGTGCTAGAAGAGACCAGACTCTCTCCTGGGTGCTGGTCTGTGTCTAGCAGCTGCAGCCACATCTTTACCGTACAAGCTACAAGGGAAAGTAATTCAGCTTAGTAGCTGGAGGATCAGTTTAACTAGTTACCCTACTCCTGGCCCAGGGAGCCTCCACCAGACCCGTGGTGCAGGGGGTGGAGGGGCATGTTGGAGGCATTTTGAGGCTAGCAGTGAGGGGGGCTGGGGAGAGGTGTGGCCAGGATGGTTCTGCACCACAGTTATTCCCTGCTGCTGCAAGCCCCAGGCGGGAGTCTGGTGCTGAGTTGCTCAAGGGCTGTCCTAGTCTGTGCTAAAGGCCAGAAAAGCAGTTTCCCAGAGACATTTCTATTGTTTGCTCCTTTGGTCAGTAACGGGGTGTAACGAATTCTGCTTGATCTCCTGGTGTGTGTCATGGAGACATACAGCTACCAAACACAGACGTGTTGGGAGAGTGTCCTGGGAACATGCCATATGCGCCCTCATGCCGCTGCCTCGCTTTATTCATTCTACAAACGGGCTGAAGTTTCCAATGAGTATTTTTGCTGCTGTCCTAGGTGATTTCCGAGGCTCTGGATCTTGTGAAGAAGATGACGCCCTCTACCGACCTGGGCCAGGCAGTCGACTCATTCTGTGGGCTGTCTATGGAAGAGGTGACTGTGAGCTAACCCACTTGTACCATGGGGATAAGTGAGGCAGGCAACGCTTTCGGGCAAAACCCAACTCAGACCTTCGGTTCTCCTGAAAGCACTGCGAGCAGGTGACCCCAGCGAAGGGGAGCTTGGGGTTCTCCTAGGTGCTGGGTTAAGATCTAGCCCATTTCCAAAGCCTTGGGACTTTCAAGAAATGGGATCTAGTGAATGCAAAAATACTCTAAACCCAGACTCTCTCCACACCCTCAGTGGGCCAGACTGTGCTGTTTGTTAGTGGGGCTGAGCAGAGGGACTCCACGGGTGTAACAGAAGCAAGCCCAGCTTATCTGTTATTTGGCTATTTGATCTGGTGCTCATGTCCGTATGAGCTATTCTGGTCTCCATGGATGCAGGCAGAGACTGTTCTGCCTCGTCATCGATACAGCGCATGCGGCAGTCACCTGTCCATAAACGGTACTGTGGGATAGGTGTAATAACCTAATGGGTGAGGCTTTCCTTTTATGCTTTGTAAAGCATGGCACAAGCCCTTGCTTCATCTTAAGGCAGAGAGCGAGAAAGTACTAGGAGCAGACACACTCTCCAACCTCCTCTGTGACCAAGGTGTTTCCAGCTTCTGACAACAGCTGAATGTAACGAGTCCTCCTTGGTCTCGCTGGGCCAGATTTCCAAGGGCTGAACATCCACAGTCAGGGATGTTCAAGGAGCGCCGCACCCACCTTCCGCACAACATGCTGAGCTCTTTTCAAAATCTGGCCGTGATTGTCAGTGCTTGAGCCCTTCGGAACATTCCAGCCATTGTGTGGCTCCTCCTGGTAGAAATATTTCCACCTCATTGCTGACACCAACGAGATGTGGCCTAAATGGTTCAAGCTGGCTGGAGGTGCCATCTAGCTGTGAATGGGACTTACCTTCACGGGGTGCACACAAGCTATTTTATACTATATGTTTGGGACGTCCCTGGGAGATCCCAGGTTATAAAAAACTCCAAATCTCCGCAATTGTCAAACTTTGTCCAATCTAAATTTGCCTGTTTTTCCATTTTTTATCACTGCTTTGTGGTTGTTCTGAGCAGCCTTAGGAAGCCACAGCATTGGACAATAGGTACATTGTGCCGAACAAATAGGGTCCCTGACTTTGATAGAATCTGTACAGTGTTATGCAGAAGAGAGATCACCCATGGGAGCTGTGATCAAAGCCCCTCTCCCTCGGCTTCTCATTTAATCAAGTGCTTCTTCCTTTGTATTAAGGAGTAGACAGGGGATGCTGACTGGCCCTTCTGTATTATACGTACTTATGTCTTCTTTCCATACAAAACTATCCTCATCCTCTTGTTCTCTCCCACATGGGGCACCCCATGACGTGAGGTCCTTCAACACCCAGGGGGCCCATGGAGATCCTTCCATGGGGAATTCAAGAGATTTTTCTTTGAAAAGACAAAGAAAAAATGAAATTTTAAAGTGATTTGGATGAAGGAGGGTCTCTCCCTTCCCTGAGGGTGAAATAAGTCTCCAGCTTAGCAGGGCCAGTGCAAGGATGTTTCACGCCCTAGGCAAAACTTCTACCTTGCGCCCTCCCCGAGCCCTGCAGCAGCTCCCTGCCTTCCCCCGCCCTGAGGCGTCGACCCCCCCCACGTGGCAGCTCTACACCCCCACAGGCCCAGGGAGCCGTGCGGCAGTTCCCCACCCCAGCTTACCTCTGCCCCACTCACCCCTCTGCCCTGAAGCACCTCCCCCGTGGCAGCTCCCCCTACTCCTGCTCGGGGAGCTGTGTGGCAGGTC